ATTTTCTATAGCACAGGAGGAAAGCCATCTCGAGCTGCTTTTTACGGCAGCGTAACCAAGCCGAGCGGTGAAGCCAGGGGAGAAAGCCCCACGCTGGGGCCGGCGTGGGCTCTGCTGGTGGCGCTGGGGTCGACGCCACAACGTCCGCGTCCTTCAGCCTCACCTGAAATGCAGCCGCCCGAGGAGCACCGCGGTTCTGGGCACTGCTGGCTTGAGACGGAGAGCTGCCCGTTACGAAATGACAGACACCACTCGCTGGAGCATCAGCTGGGGATTCGGTTTGGTTTCAAATAAAAATTTTATTAAATATTCCCTCTGCGTTAGGAAAACAATCCCAGACGTGGGATCTCCCTGGAGCGGGTAAACGTGAGGAAATATTCCAGTGACCTGTCTCTCCGCATCTCTGCTGACCGTTAAACTGGGAGAACTGGCAAATCACGGGGGGAATGCGAAAACGGGGAGCACCCGAGGGTGTCCGGAGCCAACGGCCAAGGAGGTGCCCGCGGCCGGCTGCGAAATAACGCGGGAGCAGGGCCACAGCTCCACAGAGATGTTGGCAGGCACGGAAACCCTCGCTGGGTAATAAACTGGGTGGAGGAGGGCGGCTTTATGGCCAACCATTTACGGGCTCCCTGAGGGGCGTGGGTTATTCCTTCTTCACGCTTTTATGGAAGCACATGGCCGATTTAAGTGCATTTTCTTGCTACGTTAGGTAAGCTGCTGGAAGGATTGTTAGCATCGTGGTGCAAATCGGAGGAAGGAGCCAGTTTTATCGGGAGAAGGTTTGTAACAGCAGCGTGGGGAGAGCCTGACACACCGCAACATCGGGGAGAGCCGGGATCTTATTTCCTTGTTTCAGCAGAGAGATAAAAAAGAGGCGAACAAACACCGGGCATCCCAGCTCGGGCAGCCCGTGCTCCGCGGAGACCTGCAGCGCAGACACCGGGCAGAACCTGGAGCTCAGCGCAGTCCCACGGAGGAGGAGCTGTGTGGGTTTAAGCCAGAGGAAAGAAATGGAGGTTTAGGGCTGGGCCGTTAGCAGGTGCATTTCTATTCTAGGTACACTTATTCGGTGCCTGGTGTGAATTCCTGATGAAGAAACAGGCTAAAAATAGCCAATAAGGATCCCAACAGTAGTAGAGCCGTGTGTCAAACAAGTCACTGTTGAAAACTTCGGCATTTAAAGGCTTTCAGACGCATTTACCGCACGCACTTGTTGGCCCGTCAGACCAGGAAGCTCGGAATTCAGTTTTGCCCAAGCTGGCTGAGGGAGCAAACACGAACCAGGAGCGGCTGGAGCTTGAAGGGAACCACAGCCTGGTCTCTTTTGTCAATACTTAGGTCATATAAAAGGTGTTTTTTGTAGATGCCATTTGCACTGGAACCTCAAATGCATTCTGCCATCTCTTTTCCAGGCTACTTCTACGCTGCCTCTTATTACTCCAAATGACGGCGCAGCTTGGTGCTGAGGAGCGAACCAACGCCCTCGCACAGGCGATGAGCTATAAGGATCCGAGCGCTGCCCCTGCCTTGTCTGTGGACCTCTTTCCTTCTTTATTTGTTTGACTTACCTAATACGCCACATCTTTCTCTACACTGAAAGCTCACTGGGGAGCGGTGCCTCGCCCAGCAGAAACAGAATCCCAGAATCACAGGATCCCAGCATGGCAGGGGTTGGAAGGGACCTCTGGGGGTCACCCAGCCCAACCCCCTGCCCAAGCAGGGTCACCCAGAGCAGGCTGCACAGCACCGCGGCCAGGCGGGGCTGGAATATCTCCAGAGAAGGAGACTCCACAGCCTCCCTGGGCAGCCTGGGCCAGGGCTCCGTCACCCTCAGAGGGCAGAAGTTCTTCCTCGTCTTCAGCTGGAACTTCCTCGGCTTCAGTTTGTGCCCGTTGCCCCTTGTCCTGTCGCTGGACACCACTGAGAAGCATCTGTCCCCATGCTCCTGACACCGACCCTGAAGAGATTTAGAGGCATTTCTAAGGTCCCCTCTCAGCCTTCTCTTCTCCAGGCTGAACAAGCCCAGCTCCCTCAGCCTCTCCTCGTAGGAGAGATGCTCCAGTCCCCTCCTCATCCTCGTAGCCCAGGAGGATACACCCAGCTGGAGGATACTACCTTGAGATAAAAGTGTCAAGCAGACAAAAAAACTAGTTTAGAGAAAGCACGGCACACCTAGGGGGTCTTTTTCTGCACGTATATCCAAGTTTGGGCTTTTCTTTAATCTTTATGTTAAAAAAAAGCCAGGAAACTCGCCCGTGCAGGTGATGGTGTCCGGCGGCTCACCCGGGCTGCCCACGCTCC